ATAAAATCACATCTCAACTCGAATTAAAAACTCAAATCAATGAACTAAATGAATCATTTATTTCATATTTTATTATTTTTTTTTTATGCAGATAAAACACAGCACGCACATGGAAGACGACTTTCACTTCTTTTTTTCTTCTTCTTCTTCTACTTTTACTCGCTGAACAGACGCGCGCGCGCGCGCGCGCACACACACACACACTCTCTCTCTCTCTCTCTCCATAGAAGCACAACCGAGGCTTTCTTTCCTTGGCGTAACCACCGAGATTTCCAGCGAGTATAAGGCCAATTTCTGCAGCGAAACTTTTTGGAGCAAGGAGATATTCTAGAGATTTTAAAAGTTTGAGGTAGATTTTTCTTTATTGAATGATCTTAATCCGAAATTTCCCTTTTGAATTGGTATTTTCTAATTCCCTATTGACGTAGAATTTATTGAAAAAACCTTTGGCAATTGCCTTCATGGCTTATTGCAATTTCATCGAGATGAATAATAATGATTTAAAAAAAAAAAGCTATGGGTTGAACTGATTCAAACTCAGATAAAACTATTAGAAAAGTTTCACAATGGATTGTAACGGGTTCTTTCATTGTGTAAAAGCTTGCCTCTTTTTTTTCAGTTTTCTAGAGGATAGAGTAACTTAAGTCTTTTTTTTTTTCCTTAAACAAATAATTTTAGGCCGTTAGTGTTCTTTTTTATTGCTAAAATATTTGTTGCTATTGAACTGCAGATTTTGGGGTCAATTGAATCTCATTGTTAAGATCTTTTTGTAGAGAAATGGGAAGTGCCAACGTAGACAAACTCAGGTTTTGCATTGACAGAGGGGGCACTTTCACTGATGTTTATGCCGAAATCCCGGGTCATTCGGATGGTCGAGTTCTGAAACTTTTGTCTGTTGACCCATCAAACTATGAGGATGCTCCAGTTGAGGGCATTAGGAGGATTCTTGAAGAGTTTACCGGAGAGGAAATTCCACGGACTTCGAAGATACCCACTGATAAGATAGAGTGGATAAGAATGGGGACGACGGTGGCGACGAACGCCCTCTTAGAGAGAAAGGGAGAAAGGATTGCGCTTTGTGTGACTCGGGGCTTTCGGGATCTGCTCCAGATTGGTAACCAGGCCCGTCCGAACATATTCGACCTCACTGTATCGAAACCATCAAACCTTTATGAGGAGGTTGTTGAGGTTGATGAGAGAATTGAACTAGTACAAGATGGAGAACAGAATGTGGATTCTTCTGCGCGGGTAATCAGAGGGGTTTCGGGTGAGCTTGTCAAGGTTTTGAAACCGCTTAATGAAGAAGCTTTGAAGCCTTCGCTGAAAGGTCTATTGGAAAAGGGGATTAACTGTTTGGCTGTTGTGTTGATGCACTCCTATACTTATCCGCACCATGAAATAGCCGTGAAAACGTTAGCAATGAGTTTGGGATTTCGACATGTTTCCTTATCTTCAGCTTTGACACCCATGGTTCGAGCTGTCCCTCGTGGTCTTACAGCTAGTGTGGATGCATACTTGACCCCTGTGATTAAAGAATACCTGTCAGGGTTCATTTCCAAATTCGATGAAGGCCTGCAAAAGGTGATTGTTCTCTTTATGCAATCTGACGGAGGGCTTGCGCCGGAAAGTAGATTTTCTGGGCACAAAGCTGTTTTGTCAGGTCCTGCTGGGGGAGTTGTTGGTTACTCGCAGACTCTTTTTGGGCTCGAAACAGAGAAACCGCTTATCGGGTTTGACATGGGTGGTACATCTACAGATGTGAGTCGTTATGCAGGGAATTATGAACAAGTCTTAGAAACCCAGATTGCTGGTGCCATTATACAGGCACCTCAGCTTGACATAAATACCGTTGCTGCAGGTGGTGGATCAAAATTGAAGTTCCAGTTTGGAGCTTTTCGGGTCGGACCAGAATCTGTTGGTGCACATCCAGGTCCAGTGTGTTACCGAAAAGGCGGGGAATTGGCAGTCACAGATGCAAACTTGATTCTTGGTTTTGTCATACCTGATTATTTTCCATCCATTTTTGGCCCTAATGAGGATCAGCCCTTAGATATCAAGGCAACTAGAGAAGAATTTGAAAAGCTTGCAAAGGAAATAAATTCCTACAGAAGGATCCAAGATTCTTCTGCAAAGGACATGACGGTGGAGGAGATTGCGCTGGGGTTTGTAAATGTTGCAAATGAGACGATGTGTCGCCCGATAAGGCAATTAACTGAAATGAAGGGGCATGAGACAAGGAACCATGCTCTTGCTTGCTTTGGAGGTGCCGGGCCTCAGCATGCCTGTGCTATTGCTAGGTCTTTGGGCATGACAGAAGTACTCATACACCGGTTTTGTGGGATCTTAAGTGCATATGGGATGGGATTGGCGGATGTTGTAGAAGATGCACAGGAGCCATATTCTGCTGTTTACTGTCAAGACTCTGTGGTGGAGGCCTCTTGCAGGGAAGCGGTTTTATTGAAGCAGGTAAAACAGAAGCTACAAGAGCAAGGATTTGGAGATGAAAGCATTAAAACGGAGACCTATCTGAACTTAAGGTACGAAGGTACAGATACTTCAATTATGGTGAACAAACAGACGTCCACAGATGGAGCTGGATACGACTTTGACGTGGAATTCGTGAGGCTGTTCGAGCAGGAGTATGGGTTTAAACTACAGAACAGGAATATTCTAATATGTGATGTGAGAGTTCGTGGGGTGGGAGTCACTAATATACTGAAACCAAGGGCTATACCACTTGCATTTGATACTCCTAAAGTTGAAGGCAGCTACAAGGTCTATTTTCGAAACGAGTGGCAAGATATGCCACTATTCAAGCTTGAGAAACTAAGTTATGGTCATGTAGTGCCTGGTCCTGCGATAATTATGAATGGGAATAGTACTGTTATAGTAGAACCCAATTGCAAAGCTATCATAACCAAATATGGAAATATTAAAATCAAGCTAGAGCCTATTTCGAGCACTGTGAGAATTTCAGAAAAAACCGCAGATGTTGTGCAACTCTCGATATTTAATCATCGGTTTATGGGCATAGCTGAACAGATGGGGAGGACCCTGCAAAGAACTTCTATATCTACAAACATAAAGGAAAGGCTAGACTTCTCTTGTGCCCTATTTGGACCCGAAGGGGGACTAGTTGCGAATGCCCCTCATGTTCCCGTGCACTTGGGAGCTATGTCTAGCACCGTTTGTTGGCAGCTGAACTACTGGGGCGACAATTTGAATGAAGGAGATGTTTTGGTAACCAACCATCCTTGTGCTGGAGGAAGTCATCTACCAGACATAACTGTTGTAACCCCCGTTTTCGATAACGGGAAGTTGATATTCTTTGTGGCGAGTAGAGGTCATCATGCTGAGATTGGGGGTATTACTCCTGGAAGCATGCCGCCCTTTTCCAAATCGATATGGGAAGAGGGGGCTGCCATAAAAGCATTTAAGCTTGTCGAAAATGGGGTTTTTCAAGAAGAAGGAATCGTGGAACTTCTTCGGTTCCCCAGTTCTGGTGAATTAGCAAATCAGATCCCAGGATCCCGCAGGCTTCAAGATAATTTATCAGACCTTCGGGCTCAAGTAGCCGCAAATCAGAGAGGAATTTCTCTCATCAAAGAACTTATTGAGCAGTATGGTTTGGAGACTGTTCAAGCTTACATGACTTATGTGCAGTCGAATGCAGAAGAAGCGGTGAGAGAAATGCTGAAGTCAGTTGCTGCTAGAGTTTCGTCCAAATCAACTAATGTCGGAGATAAGAATTCCGTGACTATTGAAGAAGAGGATTACATGGATGATGGATCTGTTATTCGATTGAAGCTTACGATTGATTCTCATAAAGGCGAAGCAAATTTTGATTTCAGCAGAACCAGTCCAGAAGTTTATGGGAACTGGAATGCCCCAGAAGCAGTTACGACTGCAGCGGTCATATATTGTCTTCGTTGTTTGGTGGACGTCGATATTCCTCTCAATCAAGGTTGTTTGGCTCCTGTGAAAATTCACATCCCAGCAGGTTCATTCCTCTCTCCTAGCGATAAGGCCGCCGTGGTGGGAGGTAATGTTCTGACATCTCAGAGAATAACCGATGTTATACTTACTGCTTTTCAAGCTTGTGCTTGTTCACAGGGTTGTATGAACAATCTCACCTTTGGGGATGATACTTTTGGTTATTATGAGACAATTGGAGGGGGTAGTGGGGCTGGCCCCACCTGGGATGGGACCAGTGGAATTCAATGCCACATGACCAACACAAGAATGACTGATCCAGAGATTTTTGAGCAGAGATATCCAGTTTTGTTGCACAAATTCCAGCTGAGAGAGAGAAGTGGGGGGGTTGGAATTCATCAAGGGGGTGATGGGCTGGTTAGGGAGATAGAATTTCGGCGGCCTGTTGTTGTTAGCATTCTTTCGGAGAGGCGTGTTCATGCACCGAGAGGGTTGAATGGAGGAAAACACGGGGCTCGCGGAGCAAACTACCTGATTACAAAAGATAAACGAACTGTTTTCCTCGGAGGTAAGAACACGGTTCAGGTAAAGGCGGGGGAAATCCTTCAGATTTTAACTCCTGGTGGTGGTGGATGGGGTTGCCCCTCTTGATCTTTAATTCCGACGATCTTCTTCGGTATGATTTTTCTTATTTCTCTGGAAATCTGCTATAGATGATGATGTTGGTCTCTACATAATTGGAAAAAGAATATATTCAATCTTTAAATTTAGAGGAATAAAAGAATAAACTAGTTCTGCTCTTTGGAAATTACATTGTTCTATTTCAATCTATAAATTTAGAGGAATAAAAGAATAAACTAGTTCTGCTCTTTGGAAATTATTGTTCTGTTTTTACGCATCTTTCTTGTGGTTAAAACCACAGAAAATGACTGATTGCTCACTATTCAGAAAAGGTATTTCTAAACGTCTCTGGATTTCCTTTTTTTTTTTTTTTTTTGATAACTAAGGTCTCTGGATTTCTGTTAAATGCTATTTTTATATTTGTATCCGTCTTCTGTTTCACATTGATGTTAAAGCAAGTATTAATCTATTATACCAATAGTCTAAAACTACATCAAATATCACTTTTTTGCGAATCGGTAACATATATAGAAAATATTGCTCATCTTACTGTAGCTCGCCTCTCTTCCTCGGATTCTTCTTTCATATAAAATGTGTTATTTTTGCGAATAATCCGTTTCTTTCAGCCTCTCTTTTCGGCTTCTTTTTTTATCAGGATTTGGCGTAGGAATCTGGATTGGTAAAATAAATATTTTATTATTTTGTCCCAACTAGTCCACGGGATCCCTGTAAAGCGCCCCCTCCATTTTTTTCATGGGAAATGATTAAATCCCGAATTTTGGGCCTGCGGGCATGGCCCCAGTGAATTAATAGAACTTATGGGCCTTGGAATGCTTGAGCCTTGGAATGGATAACATTACGCCTCGTTCATTCCACCGATTCGAGTTTTTAATTTTAAGGTCTCGTTCACTTCGCGAATTCGAGTTTTCAATTCGAACTGAGATGTGACATTTTTTGAGAGTTTTCTACTGTAGCAGAAAAAGTTAGATGTGATATTTTCTGAGAACTTTTTACTGTAGAAACCTAAAACTGAAAACTCGAATCGGTGAAATGAACAAAGCATAAGTTTTTACAGTAAAAAATTATTAGAAAATGTCACAAATAACTTTTTCTGTTACAGTGAAAAGTTCTTAGAAAATGTTACATCTCAACTCGAATTGAAAACCCGAATCTGCGAAGTGAACGAGACCTTAGTCTCTCCAACGTTTGAAGTTTACGCTAATATTTCAAACATCTCTAAATATCGGTTGGTTTGATTAATTTTTACTGTTTAATTAGAATATATATCGTAAGGTAGTTGGAACTCCGTTATTCTTCTGGTGATATCTGTGTACGCAATGAAATTTTTTTCAAACAAACATCATACATGAGAAATACACAGATAATTTATTAGCATAATTTTTGTACCTCTATATTTTCTGACCAACACAATCCATTAGGAAATTCTCATAGCACAGGTGAAATTCTGCGTAATGCTTGGGAGACTTTCTTGATTTTGCCTTTCAATATTGCTACTTCAGGGCAATGTTGAGCAGCTTTCTGAAGACAACTTTTCACTATTACAATTGTCCCTATTGCTATCATTTCTGGACTTGGTGGCTCCAAAACATTGTCAATTTCATAATTATGACCGAAATTTTGGGAAAAAGGAAGATGATGGGGTGAAGAGGAAATGGGATTTTGCAAATAACACAGCTATGATAATTAATGATTTTCAGAAAATATAATCCTCCCATTTTGCTTCTGTCCACAACTTCGCCTTCTCTCTTTTTTTAGTATATATAGTGGAGGATATCATCCAACCAAACAGCTTTTTATATTACAAGCCTTCTGTCGAGCATTAATGGTTTATTAGAAATTAGAAATTATGGCTTTCCAAATTAAGATGTCGTTTAGTAAAAGGTTTCGTCATCAAATTATGCAAATTTCTTTTGAACTCATTTTGTTTTTGCTCAGAGTCATGATTATAAAAGCGTACCATTTATCTATTCACCTTTAGCGTGAAGATAAACTTAGGGTCTGTTTGGTAGAGGGATTCGTTTCCTGATTTGAATCATGATTCATGATTCGCTACAGTATTTTTTCTCACAAAAAATTCACGTAAATCGAAAATAATTCAAATCACATAGTTTAAATCATCCAACCAAACGTCCTCTTAAAAGTAAAATGCATTTAAAAGCAAAAGCCAGTGAAGGACAATTAAATAATACATATATATATATAGGAGTGTAGTTTTAATTATTATTTTAATATTTATTTATTGATAGGTATTATTTTTTTAACTGTCATATATTAATTTAACGGTTATAATAAATTAAATAATTAAAAAAAAATTACAATAATTGACGATATTAAATTTTTATCACGCTACATTATTAAATTTTATCACGCTATATTATTAATTTTTTATATTTAATGAGTAATTATCATAAATTATTAACTATTTAAAACTCATCTATGTATATTGTTTTTCTTTTTATATGAGGTAACTTCTCTTGTATCTCGCGTCCTTTGGAATAAAGTAAGGTTAACGTATGTATCCCAAAGAAATATGAGAGAACAAATTGATATTATTTATACTGAATTTTTATAAATACTTTATCATTGGAAAAGGAAATATCTACTTTGCAGTAATGCCTGTCTCAACAATATCAGAACGTATTTCCCCAAAGATTGAAAAGTTTTCAAAAATTCCCCTCCAATCCAATTTCATCCAAGATATAAATGGAAAAATGACGTGATAATGAATTAAATTAAAAAATAAGGATAGAAAGAAAATTTTACAAAACCATAATGACTAAATTTGTTACAATAAGGGGAATTAGTGTTTTCTTTATAATTCATGGAGCACATCGTTACAAAACCATAAAGTACGGGAAGAGAGAAAGTATGGGAAGAGAAAGAATGTTTTCAAAAATAGGGGAAAAATGAAAAAGAGATTTAAATTGGGGGAATGAAATAAAAAATTGTGCTAGAAGCTAGAAACACCTTTTTGAGGACTAGGGATGGCAACGGGTTGGATCTAGAGGGGGATGGTCTTCTCGCTCATCTACTCCCGCAAACAAAAACGCTTACCATTCTCGTATACTAAACCCGCATAAATTGGTGGGGTATGAGACAGATTTTTCAACATGGGTTTGGAATACCTTTGGTATCCTATTTACCCGATTAGTTATTTTTATTGTAAAATAAATAAATAATACAACCATACATAACATTAAGTTCAAAAAAAAAGTTTTAAATTTTCATATATATTATATAACATATTACACTTAAAATTAAAGGATAAATTTTATTTTTACCCCTAAATTTTAGTCTTTTTGCACTTTACATCTCAAACTTTAAAAATTAGTTTGTACACTTCTTGAACTATGAAACGCTACTAAGTTTGTTCTTCTATCCACTAGCTTAAAAATATCATTTTGTGACGGAATGAGCAAACTTAGTAATGTTTCATAATTCAGGAATTGTACATAACAATTTTTAAAGTTTGAAATAAAATGACAAAAGGACCAAAAACCAAAATTTTTAAGGGACAAAAATAAAATTTATTTAAAATTATATATTATTACATATTATACCTAATATATTCATTTTAAAATATGATACAATTAAACGTGACTATAAACAAGTAAAAAAGTAGTAGACTTCTAAATTCGTTTCCGTCCGTCACCGATCAAAAATTTTAACGAGTTTGCAACTCAAATTTGGTTAAACCGTATCTTTCCCGCCCCGTTAAATGCGGGTCTCCGGGGATAAATTGATTAAAGTGTGAAATTATCACCCCTACTCCGGACCTAAAAAAATCGCATCCGATTAGCTTGCGGTATCAGGAAATTACCGGAAAGTCCTTCCCGGCGACGTACTGGCTCTAATTTCATTCGGCCGTCTCGTTGAGTGCCAGGGACTCCGAGCAGTGCCGTGGTGTGCACGCGCCGCACCTATCGGGACGACGGCGGGCGCGTTCACGATGCGCGTGTAGTAGGGTTCCCGAATTGAGTCCAGAAGAAAAGGTTTGACCTAGAATTCCAATCCAAGCATAGTAATAGTCTCTCTCTCTCTCTCTCTCTAGAACGTAAAAAGTTATGAATAAGGAAGCGCGCAATTTCGTTTGGGAAGGGGCGATTCCGCTGCAGATTCATCTCCACGAATCCCAAGTTACCACCGTTCCTCCTCCTCCACCAGCCCTCGTATGCAATTTCTAATATCTTTGATCTTATTTGATTTAATTCTTAGGATTTTATTTACTAAATTAACAACATTTTACAACTGTTACATTATCGCGCTTCAATTTTGGATTTTGATTTCTGGATCAGTTAATATGCTCAAATCCCATATTGTAGTTATTGGATTTTAGCAAAGATTTCTGATTTCTCATATAATCCAATTTGGAATATGTTAATGTGAACGTACTTCTATAGCTTTCTTGCTCTATTTCAGTGGGCTTTGTTTTTGTTTGTTTTTTTTTTTTTTTTACATTTCCGTTTTTCACATAAATTTATGCATAACTAAGTAGAATTATTATCAGAATTATGGATCTTTATGTATCCCTTTTCCTTTTTGACCTTTATTTATGAGTTTCTTTTCTTGTTTCAGATCTTAGCTCCTCGGTTAGGATACCTTCCTTTGTTGGCTTCTCAAATTAAACCTCACTTCAGTAGTACGCTTCCTCCGGTTGTTGACACTATCTGGTTTGAATACAAAGGATTGCCGCTGAAATGGTATATTCCTTATCCATACTTGGATAATTGCGTTTTCGTTTTTGTTGCTCTGGAAAAAGCTCTTTGTGGAGTATCCATGTTGGGAATTACTTATGTCTAGTTTTGTTGATCATCGTGTATGTGACCTGACTTAGGACAAGTGGGGAATTGGTAGGGTGATGAATGGGATAGGAGAAAGAAGAGTGTAATATGCTAGGGGGTGGACACAATTTAGAGGAAAGAATAGGACAATTAGTGAAAGAGAAAGTTAAAGTCAAAGGAAAAGGATTAATCATAATAATCCGCTTCCATTCGCTATATTGGAATTGTACCTAGTTCAAGATGTAAACTGAAGTAGAGTTTATTTAAAAGAGAAAATACGTTCATGAAGTTATCCTTGAGCACAAGGGAAAGAAAAAAAAAAAAAGAGACGTGTCTGGCCAAGAAATGTATGGGAGAATAGAAAGAATCAAATGATATTCAAAGTGGGTGCCACAACCAAGAGATTGAAGTAAGCGTGACCAACTACTGACTAGGAAGGCAAGCAATAGGAAATAACCCCAACAAGGAAAGCCATTAGTTAGGAGGCAAGTTACGAGAGTGGGTGTTATGAACTAACTGGAACTAGGCTATTCAAACATCAAGCAATCGAGGAAGCATCTGAACATGAAAGGAAATAAGCGGTGCTCTTTTTGAGGTTACCTCCTGAAGATCCCACCTATGATGGGGAGGTTGAAATGCTAGATAGTACCGTTTCGTAATCTAGAAACTTAGGCAGCCGCCGTGAAATCCATTTACACAGAGTTCGAGAAGGCCTGTTTTAGTGTGTTTGAATTATACTCCACGTAAGAAAGATAATTAAGTGATGGTATGACATTCTGTAATTTTCAGAATTTTGTAACTTTTGCCAATTTAATGTGCTGGAGTTTTTCTTATTGCTCTATTGATTTTATTGAGCTGGCTCATAACTACATATGTAGTATTTTAATCCTCTCAAACAGTTAATACGTTCATAAATTTATGACGTTAATGGAGGAAGATTTAACATAACATATAACTATTTGGCTTACCATATATATTCTCTTGTCAGTCCCTTGAAGATTCATATCTCTTGCTTGCCATTGCGTGCTAGTTGCATTTCATTACCAAACTACATGCTTGTTGTTCTTGTTGTGTGAGGTTATTTGTGCTTCTTTCAGGTATATACCAACTGGGGTTCTATTTGATCTTCTATGTGCAGAACCAGAAAGGCCTTGGAATCTAACGGTACAGATCTTTTAATTAATAATTAATTGGTGACAATCAGGTGTCTTATACTGTTTGTTCCTCTGAGGTCTTCTTTTTTCGACAAGAAGACCTTACAAAATAAAATAGGAAAGTGGCGAAGAAGTGGTTCACCTAGAGCAAGAAAAAAGAGATAACAAAGAAGCAAATCCGAAAGGATAGGCTACAACAAGTTTTCCTGTCTAAAGCGATTAAGGAAGGAAAACTCGCTAAAATATATAAAGTTCCCAAAAAGAAACCCAAAGTTTAAATCTATCAAAAACCACACTTAAACATCAATAGAATGATGCACTTATATCTATTTTTTGTTGTCATCTCTATCAGATAAACTTTTTGGATTTTGAATGATCGTCAAATCTCTCTAATCATATACTAGTCCTTTTTTTTTCTCCCTCTCTTTTTGCATAAAAAAAGAAAAAAATTTGCAACTTTCACATCAGGTTTTGGACTGTCTTTTTGCAGGTGCATTTTAGAGGATATCCGGGGAATGTACTAACTCCATGTGAAGGTGAAGATAGTATAAAGTGGAGCTTGATTAACTCATTGAAAGAGGTTGGTTTGTGATTTGTCTCTCAGCTCGATAGAATTAGTTAGTTTCTAATCTCAATGGTGTTGTTATTATCTGAATCATTATCAAAAGCAAGCAAAAAAAAAAAGCTTAAAACATTGTGTGGCTCTTTTATTGATACTTCAATCATTAATTGTGTTTTTAGTTTCTGATAAAGTGCGCCATAATAGTTGAAGTATTTGTGAAATTCTGTTAACAAAGCTATCGTTTTCTGTCCAAAAGCCAATTCATGTCACACAAGAGAGCCAATTTGTTATCCATTGATGTCAAACACGGCTGCAATTCTAGAATGAAATTTTGGAAATTCATTGCTAATAGTCTTTGATCTCATGAGAAGGGTCAATTCTATTTCTATAAATTTAAAAGACTTGAGGAGCATCTACCTTGGTGACAAGTCTATTTAAACTTTTGGCCAAGGTAAAATTGATACGTGACATGGGATTGTCATGTTAATTAGGATTTGGGATTATTATGATGAATACGGTTAACGATCATAGCTTAATATTACTTTTATCTATGTTCCTAGTTGATTTAGGAACATCTATCTAGAAGTATACTTAGATCCTTGATTTCGTTATATTTTTTCAGAAGTGTTTACGGAAGTATAAGATTTTTCCTTCCTCTGAATTCCCCTTCTTCCTTCATAAGCTCTTATTTCTTTTTTGCGTTTCTCTTTCTTTCTCTGACTACTTTCTCTTTGGCGCCTTATGGTTCTTCATTAGTGTGTAAAACCTATAATGGGATATAGATGTCATTTCTTCTCTGATATCATTTTGAACTTTTGTTTTTTGTTTTTTTTTTCTCTCATTTACTGTTATTTTTGGAATTGGTTATAACATTCCCATTGTATGCATCTAATGGTATTTAGTTATAATTACAGGCAGCATACATAATCAATGGAAACTCTAAGAATGTGATGAACATGTCTCAAGCTGATCAGGTGGAGCTTTGGCGTTCTGTCGTAAGTGGTATGTCTGCAACTTGAAGACATTTTGGCATGATACAACTTATTTTGAGTTGCCCCGTCCTCACCATAAATACTCATTTAGTTCTTAATTATAGAAGATTTGTTGTCCCCGGCGGTGTTCTAAGTGATGTAGGCCCACCAGGCGGATATAAAATATAGAGAGAAATGAGATAATTGGATAGGGGATATGAATAACAGAGAGGAAGCTTGAGAAAGAAAACTCAATGACATTGTTGTCAAATATAAATGTGAATACTGATATGAACACACCTACATTATAAGGCGAATATAGAAGCAACCTAAAATATCACCAAGGGATGTTGATTCAATTTACTGCATCACAACCAAAATAAGGAAGCATGATCAAACAAGGTAACAAAACAACTGACTTGGAAAATCCACCAACATGTCTAAGCTTGATGTCTACACCTGACGTAGGTACACATGTTTGAAAGGAGAATTTCACACCCTTTGGGTTAAGGGAAATCAGATGATAAACTTTCAGGATGGATGGAGAAAAAAGGATAACTTGCATTCTATAAAGTAGAATTTCTTTTGTTATGATGCAGAACTTGTAATCGGCTTGGTGAAAATTTGTTGTAGGCAATTTAGAAGTTTATGCACGTGTTTCATCCAAACTTAAGCTTGGAATAGTTTCAGATGAATACACTGCAAATTCAAATTTATCCTCTGCAAGATCCGGACAATTTGTGGATGAGACTGATATTTCTGGACAGGACAAGGCAGGTGAGCAAATTTTAATTTTAAGGATTCTGGAGTTTTTTTTTCTGTCTTTTTGTAATTCTCCATTGTTGGCTTGTGGTATTTAGAAAGGTGAACGGTTTTTTAGAATGTTTCATGAGGCATAAGGTACGATTTGTTCTGGAGAGAGAGAGATAGAGACATTTATTGCAAAAAGAATAGAAACATGAGTCTTCTATGTTCCTTGGGTATTGTCACTGCAGCGTGACTTCTCCGTGAAACTTATAGAAAATTGTCCTAGAAAATTGTCCCTACGCTTTTATCATATCTTTGCCCTATTCTGGACTTGTTAGTTGTTGTATGATTATGTGAAATAATAACCTCTTTACACAATTGCTTTTGATAACGAGGTGTTTTTAGTTATTTTATTTTTCGGTTCAGTTATTATATCTTCTATTGTTATTATTTAGAAATTTTATGAAATTTGTATCTTTTTTTATGAATAAACTTATCACACTTATTTTTTATGTTATGTTATTTTTTTGTAGGTAGAGTTCCAGTTCGGTTATATGTTTGGAGTGTTAGTGAGGATATTGACGATTCAGAAGATGCACCACCTATTGATACTTGGGACAAAATCTCTTATATAAACCAACCTGTTGAAATTCAAGAAGGTAAGAAAGGCCTATGTTATTTGTAGAACCCTCCGTAATGAATATGTGAATATGGCAAACTTAGCTGTTTCATCGTTCTTTTTATTTAGCTTTTTCATGCATTAAACCCAGAATTGAGATTGTCTTTGAATCTGGCAATTGGTAGTCAGCCACCTAACTTTGGCAAGAAGAAAGGAAAACTCACTTTTAACCTTTTTTTAGAGCTAAATTAAAACACATGCAAATGAATTGCTGCAGGAAAATTGATATTACAAAATGTGAAAAACAAACTTGCTCTTATTTCAGATATTCTTGGAATTAAAACTAAGCATGACCGTGATTTTGTCTCAAGGCCCTTTATAAAGTTAGGAGTTTTGGTGTTACTCCTTGAATTATTAGTAGCATTGTGAAAATATTAGTCTTTAAACCTTTTTTTTTTTTGTTGATTAGTCTCTAAACTTAATATTTTTGGTAGTTTTGGTATCTAGACGATGGTGTTTAAAATTTGATGGAAGTAATCACATCCTCATCAGGTGATAACTTGAAATCTTATGAAAATAGTTATAAGGTGCAAAATAGTATGTTGAATGTCTCTGAAAACCCCTGAAAATTAGAACATTTTGCTTATCATGCAAATGTTTTTGTAAGATTTCAATTTTTTACGTGATAGGTACGCGAATACGTCTTTTAAATTTAAAAAAAAAAAAAATTGGTGAAGAAAATAGAGATCAAATTGTCACTTCTTGAAAGACAGATAAAACCCATAGAATTAAGTGAACAATTTGTGTATTTTTAAACATTACCGTTTGTGTTTCTTGGCCCAACTATCTATTGATTCTAGTAGAATGACAAAGATAAAGGTTCAATATGGTAAGATATAACTGATTGCACAGGGACTCTGGAAACACGCTTGAGTAATGATCTTATGTTCAGTTTACGTTTTGAAGTCTACTTTAATCTTTGTAAGCTTAAACTGTTACAAAGCAGGTAAATACTTCACCCTACACGATGCAGTGAAAAGCCTTCTGCCAGAGTATTTCCAGGGAAGTTTTTTGATTGATGAAGAATCAACAAGAGTACAAGGTGAAGACGAGCAGAGAGATTCCTCCGAAGAGGCGAGCAGCAACAAAATTGCTGAAGATGGAGTCGAAATTCTATGTGAACACACAAAGTCTTGCCAGAAATCCGACAATGCTGAGATCAAGCTTGTTCGAATCCAAGGTATCGAGCCGAAACTGGAAATACCCTTTTCTTGGGTGGCAAACAACTTGATGAACCCCGATTATTTTCTTCACATTTGTGTCTGCTTGAAAATTCCAAGATTAAACACCACGTGTAGGTGAAAAGTGGTATTTTCAAATGCATGAACATGTACAGAAAAATTTGAACTGACAACGTGTAATTATTTCTTCGTTCTTCATGTTTCTGTTTTTCCTCTGTAAGAAATTTCACGATTTTACAAGATCTGCTGATCCCTGATTACAAGAGTAGTTTGAGTGAATAGATTCTTAGGTACATACTTAAAATAAAGTTGGAAAAGATCATTGGAAATACATTTCTGTTCCAAACAATTTAATCTTTCTTGAACTGCCAGTACTGATTTTATACTGGTGCTCTTGATCAAAACGAGACGGTTTTTTTTTTTTTTTTTTTTTTTTTTTGGGCTAGTGAAAGTGAGACGATATTTATTTGTTATATGTTACGTGAGAAAAGTAATTTTTAACTCCTTGTGCTGGTCTGCTTTTTATCATTATCATTTTATTATTAATATTATTGAGATTCGTTTGTTCATGAACTTTTAAGAGGTGGCAGTTCCATCTTTATTTTTTCTTCATCAATTAATATTTTAATTTAACGGTATATTTTTGAAATATAACAGCGCTAATCATGTGGTAATTGTGAAAATAGTTTAAAATTTTACCAAAACAACTCATAAGATGAATATTCTATAATATGCAAGGGTTTTTAGGGGTGAGAATATTGAATTCTCAAAACTTAATAGGAAATTACCTACCTATCTATCGCTTAATAAACTGAAGTTTTACAATTTATTAAGCATTAGGGACTAAATTGCCATAATACTAAGAAAAAGGGTTGAGAGAGCAATATACATAAACATCTGGCCGGCTGGTTACTTAGTAGTCCAAGGACAAAAGTTTGATCTATCTCTTCACAGGCGCTCTCCAAACTCCATTGTGTCATACAGCACTAAAGACCATCAAATATCATGTTAAAGCATCGAAAATACCAAAGAACTTAGGCTGCTCCGGAAGGGCAAAACCAATGACCAAGAGACTTTGAAATCTCCATTTTCTAGACAAACTCTTTCCTATAAAACTCATATTTTCTAACACATTGGTTACCACCAATACAAGAGAGATACTAAGAAGAGATAGAAAGAGGTACCACCCAAAAAAAAAAAAAAAAGAAATATGTCAAAGGACGGAAAGCTTCTTCTTTTAGATTTTTGGGCAAGCCCTTTCTGCGCCAGGGTGAAAATTGCCCTGGAGGAGAAAGGTCAGAAATATGAACAAAGTGAGGAGAATTTGTTTGGGGGAAAAAGTGAGCTTTTGCTCAAAAGTAACCCAATACACAAAAAGGTGCCTGTAATTTTCCACAATGGGAAACCAATTCTGGAGTCTTCCATCATTGTGGAATACATCGATGAGACTTGGCCTTCTCCACCACTTCTCCCATCTTGTCCTTATGAGAAGGCACAAGCCAAGTTCTGGGCTGACTATATTGACAAGAAGGTTGTGTTGCTAACTATACTTTAGGCTATAATTATTTATTTGTGTTCTCGCATTACATATATATAATTAAAGAGATAGTGCTTTATTCTTTTGCATTACCATTTAATTAGTACTGTATAGGGGTGATTAGAGAAGCCGCCGAACCGATGAAATCTAGAATTTATTTAGATTGAGAAAAACTTGTTCAAATCTTTTTGTTACAGTATTTTTTCTCATAAAAATTTAAATTTCTATTAACTTATGAAACAAACAAGCATTTAGTTCTTTTATAAATTTGTCCAACTATAGAGTATGAAACACTATTATTAATGGAAAAACCAGAACATACTCTTAGTACAGCTCAACAAAAGTGACCGCAACGACTAAAAACCAAAAGCTTATCCCACGAAATTTTAAATAAGTTACAGGTTTTAAACTTTCTGTTTTTCTAATTGTCCCACTATTATATATGTGTATATATATATATATTATTCTAATTTTATAGTATAATATAATATAACGTTCATAGTGTGACTATTTCTCAATACACCATGTTGTTTATTCTGTCATTGTGAGAAGGTCTTTGAGGTGGGGGGCAATATATGGAGGAACACATCAGGAGAAGTACAAGAGGAAGCTGTAAAGGAATTCATAGAGATTCTTAAACAGCTAGAGGAAGCCCTAGGTGACAAAGATTTCTTCGGCGGCAAGGCATTCGGGTACGTCGACATCCTAGCAATCCCTCTCACAAGTTGGTTCCTAGCATTCGAGAAATTCGGTGGGTTTAAGGTTGAGGATCACGTCCCCAAATTCTCAGCTTGGATCAAAAGGTGCTTGCAAAGGGAGACTGTGTCCAAAGTTTATCCTGACCCAGAAAAGGTCTATGAATTTGTTGGCAATTTCAGAAAGATGAATGGCATTGAGTAGTTTAAAAAAAAAAAAAAAAGAAAAAAAAAAGAAAAAGAAGAAGAAAGAAGCGGATGCTCTACTTTAAGAGAATTTTATGCTAAGATTTGAAAATTATCTTGCTGGTACCACTGAGTTGTTTTGGACTGTCAGATCATATTCAAATCACATTAAAATTGAAAATACATACAATTTTAAGAAATTTGATTCAAATCTGACCGTTCAGAATATTGTAGTATTGCAGGATAATTTGTCACACTCTACCAAAAATTCTCCCTACTTTTATAATGAATAAGTCCTTCCGAGTCCTTGTTTGTTTGCTTTTCTCCAAATCCTTTATGGGATTGTTAAGTTAAACATTCAAAAAGCATGTGATGTTATAATAAAGTTAAACCGTGTTAAGTGGTGTGAACTAATATCTTTATAACTTAGTATTTATTATTGTATTTAAATGATGTGAGACTCTGATTAATTTTTACTTTTACGTCATGTATTACTAAAAGGATCTTCAAATTTTTCGACTAATTAATAAGGTTTATTGCTTCTCTCATTAATCTTTTTTTTAAAGAGCCTTTAGGCTCCTAGGAACACTTTAATTAAGTATAACTCTTATTAAAACCAACTATTGTCATTGTGAGCATCGATCAATGAGTAGTCTCACTCACTACGTACGTACCTATAAGATCAACGAGAATTTGATACGTACTCTAGGCATGTGTGTGTGTCTATAATGTTATATTGTGATGATCAATACTACTTTTTCAAGATCCTGAATTGATAGTATATCTGCCAAGATCCAGACTCACTACCGCATTTAATTTAACGCTTTTAGACAAGTTGGTTTTCGTTTGTTTTTAGTTTCGGAATTCATGGAGGCATATGGTCGACATAGACAAGTTATATATGTACATATCATGTGGACCCCGGCCCCAATCTAGCTTATATAATATACTACTCACATAACGTGTTACATAATATATAATATATGCCTATAAATTTTTATTATGATCTATTTAGATAAATGATCCATCTAATATAATACGATGCGTTAAAAAGACGTAATACAATAATTATCATTTTACGATTAATAATTATGTTATGTTTTTTATTTCTATATGTTATGTGAATTGACCACAAAATCTGCATATAATATATATATATATATATATATATATAAGAGCTAATTCAAGTACAAGGCATATGCCACACATATGGAATATGGAAGGTGGGTCGGCAGCTTTTTAGCACGTCTCCTAACGTTTATCAATGAGGCCAAAACCAATCAATGATGTGGTAAGGTTTGCCCTAGGCATGTGGTTATGGAGGCCTAGATAGCCATTATTCCTTTGTCAGATGCAACGTAGCCCCCCATATCTTCTTGACGTCCTCTTGGGGAGTGCGAAATGCCCCACAAACGACACTCAATGTGCTCCAAAATATTTCTTGTCCAACGACTGACCCGGCCCTGCCCTTTTGCGATTTGGACTGTTTCCGACAGGCGACAACTAATCCCTCTTGTACATAGCTAGCCAATTCTTATTATCTATTGTGAAAGGTCTTGGAAAAACGACAAATTTTTTGTCAAGAAACATTTAATACGTATGACCAATTAGTGGTGCAATGTGCGACACTAATTATCCAAGTTTAATGTTTCTACCTTCTTGATGTTACGGGTTAATTATAACGTCTCTTAGTAATACATTTATGTTCTTAATTAGTAACTACAAGTGAATATAAACACTAGCTAGTGGACTTTTTTTTTTTTTTTGAAGAAACAGAATGTCGGCCGACCCATTAGTAATTGAAATTTAAACTGCCAACTATATTGCTAGTTGTTTCAATAATTGACTAGTAGTGCATGACTACTTTATTAATTAGTTGTAAGCTTTTAGATCAAGTCCTTCTGCAATAGGACTTCATAACGGGTAATATATACCTTTTTTTATCATTAGATTATGTTAAAATCACATCAAAACTAAAAATATGTTGAATAAACTGTTTTAAATATAAATTTGAGGGTTAAAAAATAGAGATTTATTTACGTAAAAATTTCCTATAAATACAAAATAAAATAAAATGTCTTTACATTATTAGATCTTCGGACTTTCTTACCAACCTATTCATATAATTTATTTCTCTAACTAATGTTAGACTTTAGTATATGTTATTTCATTATTATCATTATTATTATTAATTTTAGACATTTGGTCAGCCAATTAAGTCAAAGAACTTCTCTATCGCAATTTGTGAAGCCCAATAGGCCCACTGAATTTAAGGCCATATAGTTTAAAAAGTTATGCACATCTATTTATAGGTGAGTGGGTGCTAAAGGGTGTGTGGTCATTTTTGTGTGTAATCGGTGTGTGTGGAGAGGCAAAGAGAGGAGAGTTTCATTACTCTCAAGCCCGTTTCACCGACAAGTTCCGACGGCTTAACACGACGTCAACGCTTTCAATAGGTAACTCACGAATATTTTCTTCTTAGACATGTTTTAGACACTAGATAGGTATGATTAATTTTCCAACAATCTTTGCCAAGAGTCATTTTGAATACAAGGACTTTTGGCGCGTCTCGTGCATTCGCTGACAATCGTTTTTTGCCAATATTATTGCAATCTAGAATCACTTTTGTAGCATGCATCTCATATAAATGTATAATATATATATATATATATGTAGATAATAGCTTAAAGTACAAGGCATATGCTTTTTAGCATGTCTCGTACTGTTTGTCAATGAGGCCGAAATCAATCAATGATGTGGTAAGGTTTGCCCTAGGCATGTGGTTGTGGAGGCCTAGATAGCCATTATTCCTTTGTCAGATGCAACGTAGCCCCCCATATCTTCTTGACGTCCTCTCGGGGAGTGAGAAATGCCCCACAAACGACACTCAATATGCTCCAAAATATTTCTTGTCCAACGAGTGGACTTAGGCCCTTGCCTTTTGCGATTTGGACTGTTTCCCACAACTAATCCTTCTTGTAGCTAGCTACACCCCTTGTATATAACTCTTCTATCTATTTTATATATTCTGAAAAGTCTTGGAGAAACGACAAATTTTTTGTCAAAAACTTATAATGAGTATGGCCAATTAATGCGATGCTAATTATCCAATTTTAATGTTTCTATCTTCTTGACGTCACGGGTCAATTATATCTCTTAGTAATACTTTTATGTTCTTAATTAGTAAGTACCAGATGAATATAAACACTAGCCAGCGGACGAGCTTTTTTCGTTTCTTTCTTCCTTTTCTTTGAAGAAACAAAATGTTGGCCGGAACATTAGTAATTGAAACTTACACTACCAATTACATTGCTAGTTGTTTCAGTAATTGACTGGTAGTGATTAGTTGTCAGTCTTTAAATCAAGTTAATATAAGTAAGGGTCCTTCTATCATTCTACTAGTGTAGATTTAAATATGACCGTAAAATCTAGTCAAAATTATATTAAGAATATAAAATATGAACCAGTGTAGATTTAAATATGACCGTGAGATCTAATCAAAATTATATTAACAATATAAAAAATGCAGATTACACAGTTTGTAATTAGTTTTTACAGTTGAAAAACAAACCCATATTATAAAACCCTACCTAAGAAACTTCCTATAAAAGAAGGCTAATAGAGGAGGATAAAAGAAACACACTTTGTAATAAAGCTGAAGAGCTGAATGAAATCCAGAGAAAGAGTTTCCATCAGATAAAAAAAAAAATGGAATGGAGAAAACGTTCTGCAATGTACTTAAAAAAAAAAATGAGGGAGAAGCATTAAGCAAAGTGCAAGACTAACTCTTGTTTAGCAGCTAAAAAATAGACCAAAACACTACTTCACTAGTCAACAGACTCGTATTGACTAGGACAATAAACAACAAAACTCATCGCTTAAACAAAATAAATAGGGACTCGGTCAAATACAGACCCACACGACTGGACATCAAATTATATGCAGTCCTCTATTCGTTCAAGTAGCTTTTAATTCTTCAAAATTGTTGGAAGGACCACATCATTATAGATAAAAGCAAGAAGAGTGGCCGTGCCGTCCATTTCACACCTTCAATATCATTTCTTTACGATAATTCTACAGGATACGAAAAAAAAAATACATAGTATAAATACCTGTATCCAATAACAATTCATCAAACTCTCTGAATGATCTGCTATAGAGCCAGGTAATTTATCAGATGATCTGTTGGGAGACAAAGGCCTTAATCTAATAATTGTGTCCAAACGTCACATCTAAATCTATTTTAGTCATACTGTCTGTTTAAGGTAAAGAATGAATCGATCACAGGCTACAAACACGTGATTAATCAGTATACAAGTTTATAGCTATCTAATAGCAAATGGCAATAGTTTTTCTTTTTTTTTTTTTTCCCTCCTTTACCTTTAACACGAAGGATAAGTTGCTAAATTTATACCCTCAAAAACAAAAAGTTTACACATTTATGAATGTAATTATACGTCAAAACTTCAAAAGGATTTACTTCAATTATGTAAACACCATTTACCGTTACAATGTATTGTACTCACTTAGAACTTAAGATTCCAGAGAAAAGGGGACCATTTGAACTTGGACATACATGTTAATAAACAGTAAGGAGCAGATTAGCAGAGAGAAAAAAAAAAAAAAAAAACGTACAACATATTAAATTATATAATGATTGCTTGTCCAATGTTGGAATTACTGGCTGCTCTCAAAATTCAGTCATACTGTTCAACAGAGGGTAAGTGAAAAAATATAATACCCATTAAACATTATGCAAACCGATCATGGTGGTTGACCCCAGGTGCGTAGTCATGCCGCTGCTTTCCCTCCATTGGGTTTGCTGGTGGGCTTCCTGCCTTTCTCTTGCGGCTGCTGGATTTTGGCGATTGATAACTCGCGTCATTGAGTACTGATAACTCGCCTTCTTCCACATTGTTCAAATCCGGTCCAGACGTCTGGCCCTTTTTCTGATAAGGCTCGTCTCCAGAAGTGTCTTGATGTTTTCCCTGATGCAAATCGTCGTTTTCTGGTCTAGAGGGCTTAGACCAGCTTTGCCTCCGGTCTCGCTTGTTCTTCTCATTCCCAGCAGCCAACTCAATGCCATCTTCCAATTCCCTCTCAATGAGATCATCCTCGTCCATCAAGTCTGTTTTCCGAGTCACATCACCAATTGACTTCCTTCGTTTCTCCAGCGCGGCCTTTACTTTATCTCTGTCGATCTTCTTTATTGCTTCCTGAGGTGACCGACCAAGTGCACTCTGTCTGTTTTCGAGATTTCGGCCATGATGTTTGTCCTTCAATTCCCCAGCTTCTCTTGTTTCACTTCTCCCCACATTATTTTGTTGATCCTCTTCACCAGCTAAATCTGACAAATGCCATAATGTGTTTTGACCTTCCCCCGCCTTCTCATGGTGTGGCAGCTGCTCTGGCTCAGTGTGATGATTGTCTCTGAATTCAACATCCACTTTGTGGTCAGAATTTTTCATTTCTGTGTTCCCATGGTCATTACTTCGGCATTCTGTTGTTCTTGGAGGCCCACCATGATGGTCAGCATGCGTCAACTCAGATGCTGGTCTAGATGACGCTGGCTTTGAGGCTCCAGGCTTTGTGCTTCCAGCCTGCGAATGACTATTGGTTGTCACATGTTCTTCGTTGCTAGTAGTAGATTTTGCAGGGGCCCGATGGGTGACACCACTCGCAGCACTTCCTTCAACGTCACTGGATAGTGGCACTCGATTTTGTTCATACAGTTCCAACATTTGATTGCTTACTTCTGCAGGAAATTACCATAAATATTAAGAGCTGATACTGAAATTTCTTTAATTTAAACATGACCATACAACTGTAACTGTTGTGGACTCAAAAAACTAAGAGCAAGGGGGGAAGAAAAAGGAAGAAGAAAGAAAGAAAAGAGAGAAATAGGGATTCCGAGTGCTCGATGGATATCTAGAAAGGAGAGAATAGGGATTACGAGTGCTCTATGGATATCTAGAAAGGAGAGAAATAGGGATTACTAAGTGCTCGATGGATATTTATTCTTATCCACTTTCTTGTCCTGAATGGCTAATAATTAGTTTTTTTTTTTAATACCCAGAAATCCCCCAAACGCACTTTGCGAGTTCGAGTTAGAAACTAAAGTCCCCCGTCAAACCCTACAATCTTTAGAAGGCAGGAAACTATGACTTTTGTCATGTAGGTGGCGATAAGGTGGTTTGAACCCCAGAACACATGGGAGCAAACCAAAGGCCTGACCATCCCAACCAACACTGCATGGGAGAATGGCTATAATTAGTTATTATTTAATCCTTTATACCTATCACCACCACTTACAAACAGGCAAAATTAGGTCAATGCAATGCAAAGGATAAGGCATGACTCCAACCTTCCAATTGGCGAGGGGTGACATCAAACTCCTGCCACCAAACCTTCTCACCATCGGATGGAAGCTTTACTTTGAGGAACTTGGCAGCAAGAAAAATGGCACCAGCAGCGATGTGATGAGGTTTAAATTGCAAGCAAAGAGATGTCCGGAGTCTGCATGCCGCATTCAATTTCAGAAGAATGACCACAGTGGACAGGAAAAAGAAACTAACATAAGCATACCCATCATTGACAAAATTCCAGGCAACTTGAGCAAGTGCATTTTGAGCTACTTTGAACTTCTTTATTGCCTCAACAAGGGGTTTATATGGATGCTGCACGTTGAGATCAAAACCAAGAGTTGCAAGGACAACTCTCTCTCCAAGTAAAATTAATTCTTTCTGCTGTTCATATACTTCCTGTATGATACATGCAAATGAATGAATAAATAAAATGGAAAACTACGAAAATAAATAAACTCCTTCATGAAAAACAAAAAATAAGAGTAAAGAGAAGAGAATAAAACAAAGGAAAACGTCATGAACTCCTTTATGAAAAACTAAAATAATGAGTAACTAAACAAGTCAAACAAAGGTGAACCATTTCTATATTAAGTATAAATAAAATATATACAAAATATATATAAAAATATATATTTGTATACGGAAATTACAGCAATAAAAGATACCTTTTGTTTAATCCTCTGTACTGCTGTGGGGTCCTTTTTATGAATGATTTCATATGAGACTAGAATAACATCTTTTAAGGGGCGGGGGGTTTCTTCAACCTTCCCAGCAAGAAACATACACACTGTTGCAATGGTCTGCGGAAGATTTTAAATCAAAATTAGAGCACTGAAATTGATAATTTCATACATGTAAATCTCAACTCACTACTTTCTAACATCTCTCTCTTCATACATAATTGATGCCAATCAGCATATAAAGGCAATATCTTATTCCTCTATTACTACCTAGGGGGCAAGTTATTCATGGGCTTACCCTCCTATCATTCTTAGCATGGGATTGACGAAGGAAGAATCGATGACAGAAAATTATGGCCGTTGCAATTGTTACTTGGGGTCTGCATTATACAATACTTGGGATCATTATCAAGCCGAATCAGTGATCGTGCTACCTCAATGAAATTTGAGGCAAAGTAAATATGCAACAGATCTTTTCACTTGAGTATATAACACACACGCTACCTCAATGAAATTTGAGGCAAAGTAAACATGCAACAGTTCTTTTCACTTAAGTATATTACAACACCCGCCCCGCCCTGCCCCGCCCCGCCCCCCCACCAAAAACACACACACACACAGTTCTATCAACTTAAGTAATGCTACACAGACGCACACGCCAAACATAAAATTAGTACCAAATAGGTCTAGCAGAGAAAACATAGGTCCTAGACCGACTTTTTAAGGTCATTTAACACAAAGCTGCTTAAAGGACAAAATATTAAGCACCACATAGTAGGAGCTAGGACATTAAGTCTTCGATCTCTCACTACACCAGTGTTTGACTGAAGGTAAAAAGTGAGAACTCAACAATTCACATATTAGAATAGATGAGAAGTAAAAACACTTACACTTTCAGTCTCATCCCTAAATCTTGGAGAAACGTACAGTATGACTTGCGTAGATAAGTCTCTTTCTTCAAGTCAACTCCATCACGCCTTGACGGGGAGTTCTCTTCAATTTCCTTCCTTGAAAAGTACCAGCGAGCACCATCCTCTGGCTTATCCTGAGCATGTTTGTGGGAACCACCTTCATATGTTCCATGATGGGAGGCATCACCAGACAAAAAACCAGCCATATGGATCTCCCTTTTACCAAATTAAATTACAGTCTCAACGTATCATAGACGATCTCTCTCCTTGCCGGCTGTTAAAAGTACGTTACCAAAATGTAGTCGCACCTTACAGCCCATGAATAGTTGAGATAGGTCAGATATGGTCGGCCTAAAGAGCATAATTACATAAATACAAAAATGAAATGCAAACACAAACTTATCAAAGAATAGCTTGTTTTGAGAATTCAATCATTTAGAGAAAAAACCCAAATTACATTCAAAAGCTCGTACAATTACCACGAAGAACATAATTTCAAAACTACTCTGAACAGAAGATTTCCAAAAAAAAAAAAAGAATTAGACATATGAAAAAATAAAACCAAATAACAATATGTAAAGTAGAACCAAAAGCAACAGTTACAAACAAAGTAGGAACCCAGATCGAAGTCGGACAGGCACACAATCAAATAACCTACTTTGTTTCAACTATGCTATGTAAGCGCCTATTCCTTAAAGCATCTTGCTTTATAATTTCTAGCTCACGGATTACCAAATAACTTGCGTGTTATGGACTATAAGCATTTTAAAATCCAAGAATAAGATGCGAAAATCAGTATATCAGAGAGAATTTCTTAGAAGTTGTTTCAACGTATGGAAAACAAACCCTATATCTCAAATTCCTTACTTGATGGGGTTTTCAACAAAGAGTTATGCTATCATACATCCTTAATAAATTTTCGGTTTTACAAAATTGAGTGGTGAATTAACTTCTCTTTGATTCAACTGAGAGAATTTCTTAATTCACTTTTTTGAACTCCGAATACAACGACATCGAGAAAGATGAAAAGCACGCAAGCCATAGAAATTGAAATCACTCCCGACATTCACAACCATCAAAAATAGTAAAAACAAAGGGAAACACGAAAATTCCTAAAAACAAACCTTAAAATACTGAAGTTCAACAAAACGAACGAGAGAAAACCCTAAAATTGAAAATCAATAACCCCAAATTATCTTCAAAAATGACTCACCAGTTACTGGAGCTTAAACGTCGAAAAGATAAGTTAGGAAGCGGGAAAAAAACCCCTAACTATGAAATTAATTCGTGGCTACCTTTCTTTGACGGCAAGGGCTGATTCTTCATCTACTAATGTTGAGCATTGGACATGAAAAACACCATGAAAGGAGCTTAAAGAGAGGAGATGAGGAACATTTGGAAGCGGCTAGGGCTATGAAAGAGCACAGTGGAGGAGAAAATGGAGGAATCAAAGGTCGATTTAGGCGACGGCAACAAGCGTGGAGAAAAGATGAGAGAGAATCTGGATAGTGCGAAAACGAGAAAGGGTTTTCTTTTGGGACTAATTTGGGGGGTTTTACTATGATTGTGTAGGGGAAAGTGTACGGTAACGAAGGAACACGTGAGAACAAAAACTAATAGTGCAAAAACACGTGTATTTTTGCAGAAGCACGCAGAAGAGATTTAAATAACGACAAGTCATGGAAAAACGAAAATCAAATCATCCAAAGGCTTCTCTGTATGGACACCTCCTCAACTTTACAAGTTTGGAAAATTGGTCTCTCAACTTTTTTTCATAGCAATTCACCCTCTAAACTTTAAAATTTGTTGCATTGTTGGTCAAAGGAGAAGATTTTTATCTTGGTTTTAAGTACAAAAAAGCCAATATACAATTGTTGACCACGTTATAGACTATAAGCATATTGAAATTCAAGAATAAGATGTGAAAACCAGTCTGTCGAAAAGAGTTTCTCAGAAGTTGTTTCCGCATATCAAAAACAAATCCTAAATTTAACACACGTGAAGGATACCGTCAAAATTTTTAATTTCATTTTCAATTTGATCAACAATACAACAAATTTCAAAGTTTAAATGGTGAATTGCCAGGGCAAAAAAGTTATGGGACCAATTTGTCAAAGTAAAGTTGGGGGGTGTCCATGCAAAAAACCTTTGGATGATTTGCTTGTTATTTTTCTATTTCTTCTCATTATTTAAATCTCTTTCGTGTACTTCCCAAAAAAAAATACGTGTTTCTGCACTACTAGCTCTTGTTTTCATGTATTACTTCGTTATCGTACGCCTTCCCCACACAATCAGAGAAAAAACCCCAAATGTCTAAAAAGAAAACTCTCTCGTTTTCGCACTCTCCAAACTCTCTCTCCATCCTTTCTCTACGCTCATTTGCCGTCGCCTAAATCGACCACCAATTCCTCAATCTCCTCCGTCGCGCTCTTTCTGAGCCCTAGCCGCTTCCAAATCTTCATTATCTCCTCTCTTTAAGCTCCTTTCATGGTGTTTTTCATGTCCAAATCTTGGCATTAACAGACGAAGAATCAGCCCTCGCCGCCAGAGAAAGGTAGCCGGGAATCAAGTTTGTGGTTATGGGTTTTTTTCCCTTTTTCCTAACTTATTTTCTCGACATTTAAACTCCGGTAACTAGTGAGTCGTTTTTAAAGATAATTTTGGGTTATTGATTTTTAATTTTAGGATTCTCTCTCGTTCGTTTTGTTGAATTTCAGGATTTTTGAGGTTTGTTTTTAGGAATTTTCGTGTTTTCCTTTGTTTTTGTTGTTTTTGGTGGTTGCTAATATCGGGAGTGATTTCAATTTCTACAGTTTGTGGGCTATTTCATCTTTCACTCAATGTTGGTGTATTTGGAGTTCAAAGAAGTGAATTAAGTTATTCTCTCAGTTGAACCAGAGAAAAATTAATTCACCACTCAATTTTGTAAAACCAAAACTTCATTAAAGATGGACGATAGCAGAACACTTTGCTGAAAACCCCATCAAGTAAGGAATTTGAGACTTAGGATTTGTTTTCCATACGCACGCGGAAACAACTTCCGAGAAACTCTTTCCGACATACCGGTTTTCACATCTTATTCTTGGATTTCAAAATGCTTATAGTCCATGACATGGTCAATAGTTGTACATTGGCTTTTCAATACCTAAAATCAAGATAAATATCTTCTCCTTTGCTTTTACTCCCTGATATAATTTTTAGCTAATCCTTCACGAAATAATATTGAAGTTGTAGCTAGCAAGAGGGAAAAACCTCTGAAAATGCAAGTTATTTGGTAATCCGTGGACTAGAAGTTATAGAGCAAGATGCTTTAAGGAATAAGCGCTCACATAGCATAGTTGAAACTTTTTATCTTGTTTTTCATATTGAGTAACGATTCTAAAGTAATTTCTTTACTTGTGGCTAGCGCGGTAATATTGGATCATTCTTTTGTTTATTACTTTATTTGAAACAAAGTAGAAACATAGATCGAAGTCAGACAAGCACACATAATCAAATAACCAGCAAATGATGCGTGATAGCAGAACTCTTTGCTGAAAACCCCATCAAGTAAGGAATTTGAGATTTAGGGTTTGTTTTCCGTACGCAGAAACAGCTTCCGATGAACTCTTTCCGACAGACTTGTTTTTGCATCTTATTCTTAGATTTCAAAATGCTTATAGTCCATAACATTGTCAATAGTTGTATAATGGCTTTTATGTACCTAAAACCAAGATATTTTGCAAACCTGTTGACTTCCCTTACTTAATTAAGCCCTAAGTGTATTCTTCTCTTCTAAAAAAAAGTCGGCAAAAAATCTTTAGCAATAGTACCACGGGAGGGAGGAGTGAATCTAGGCTGCATCACTTGACAAAAATTCCTAAACCCTTGACCTTCAACAAACCTAAATGAAGTCATCCACAATCACCATTTTTGCCAAAGCTTTTCTACAATTCTCCTAGTTAAACCCAATGGCAACCAAATTACTCCCGATTTCAGTACTAGTTTGGAAACTCAAAATTTTTTGCTTCTTTTCTTGGATCCTATATGGGTACTTCTTGCATTGACGCTCTATGTGAACCTTCATACTTCTTGTTCCATGCCTCCTATTATCACACGCATATTGTGCCCCACAATAGATACACTCACACCTAGGCTCATATCCCCACCCTCTATCATTTTGAAATGATCCCAAACAAGAGACTTCTTTTGTGACTTTTTTTCTCTTTTTTGCTTATTCGTCTCCTTTTTCCGTTTAAATTTCAGTGTGCACAACAGCAACAGGGGTGGATTCTTTTGGCTGAGAGGTGGGATTTGTGGTGTGGACAGATTTAGCAGGGGACTTAAAAGTGCATTCAGAAGTTTGGGTGGTAGTGGAGTTGGGTGAGGAATTTTTCCATTTAACAAAGATAAAAAAGGATTTCAGAATAGGGAAAAAAAAGAAACAGATTCACATTTAGTAAAAAAAAAATCATAAACACATTTCAGTATATCAGAACAAAATAAACAAAATAACCAAATACCAGATTTCAGTATATCAATTATCAAACCATAGATCTTAGGGGTGCATTTGGTTAAACCGGTGGAATGGTAATAGGAATAGTAATGGTAACAGTAATAGAATAGAATAGAAAAGAATGAGTATGCTTGTGCTTGGAATAGGATATAATTTATTTTGACGAAATTATCCTTACTCCCTGCTCTTTCCTTTTTTTTCTTTTTTGGTGCGTAAATTGTAACTGTTCGACAAAAAGTGCACCAAACAACAGCTCATGCCCGATTCAAGACCAATTTCACGTCTGAAAATTAATGATCCATGTCAATATCTTGGGCTGCCTTCCTATTCCAACTACAATCACACCCCAATAATTAAAAAGCTTCAAGTAAACTTCCAAAAGAAAAAAAGAGAGGGAATGGGCGTGAAGAATTTCTCAAGAACTGGGCATGAGTGAAATCTGTAAAGATGGGCAAAGACTTGGTCATGACGGGCGTGGCGGAGCTAATCCCCGAGGTGGGGATGGCGGATACCGTCGGGAAGAGGATATAGGTTGTGTGGCGGAGGGAGGGGGTTTGCAGATTGGGGCGTCGTTCGGTGACGAAGCTAGTAGATCTTGGGGCGAAAAAAGGAGATTGGGGCGTCGTTCGGTGATTAAGTTCTTTACAGATTTCAGTAAATATTAAAGAAAAAAACTTGAGAAAATCAAACGAAATTTCTGAAATCAAACAGAAAAACCAAAAAAACATATGAATATTTTTCAGAAATCAAACGGAACTTCGTAAATCAAACAAAAAAAAACACAAACCTTTCACTTTGTTTCTTCTTGTAAATGCCTCCGTGCCCTCTTCTTTTTTGCCTCTCTCACAGCAGAACAAAACCTGACAAGAACAAAAGAGAGTTCCTTAGTTTCTGACGACAAAATCAGTTTTTCGATAACAAAAGCAAAATCACGAAAAAAAAAAGGAACAAACTCTCACAGCACTCAGCAGTTCGAAGCTCGAGCTTCAAACTTCAAATCCTCAACATATGAAAGAGATTTCGGAAGAAGATGACGAAATAAAAAATAAAATAAAAAAGGATTTTACTTTTAGGGTTTGAGAGACGAAGAAGAGGGTGAGAGTCTGAAAGAGGGAGAAACTGAGTGTGAGGCGGCGAAAAATGGGCGACAGAGAAAAAAAAAAAAAAAAAAAACCTTTTATAGGTTGGATTTCTACCGTGAGTAATTAATAGGAACAATTTTATTTTTACCTCCAATTTTAATTTATTTGTCACTCTATTCCTTGAATTTTTAAAATTTTTCTGCACACTCTTTAAATTTTAAAATATTATTAATTTTATTAATTTTATTTATTTAATTAATAAATTTAATAACGTGATAATTATTAAAAGAGTAATTTAATAAAATATTTATATAAATATCTTTTAAAATATGTATTATATTATAAAATGTCTTTTAATTTTTTAAAACACATTAAAATGTTCTTAATTTTTAAAAAACATAATAAAATAGCAATTTTATTAATGTGATATGTTATTAAAAAATAATTAGATATTAAATTCTAATTGAACCAATAAAAATAATTAAACATGAAAAAAATATAAATATAATTATGCTTCACTTCAAAAAAATTAAAAAATTAAATAAATTTTTTTCAAAAATTAAAAAACCCAACAAAAAATTGAACAAAAATTGAAAAACCAAAAAAAGAGAGGAAAAAATTGAAAAACCTTCCTCCTCTTCCGCTCTTCAAATGCACATTAAAATAAGTTTTTTCGCTTAAAGAAGAATAAGGTTTTCACTGTTTAGGTTTTTTTATCCTTTTTTCGATATTTTTTACTTATCTTTTGGATTTTTCACATTTTTAGTAGCATGTTATATCAACTAATTTAAAAAAAATAAAAACCCCAAAAGACAATTCAAAAATCAAAAAATCCATCTTTTAAAGAAAAAATGTGTTTTGATGTGCACTTTTAGAGTTGAAGATGAATAAAGTTTTTCAAAAAAAAAAATTTCTTTTCTTTTGGGTTTTGATTTTTGAAAAAAAAAATAGTTCATTTATTTATTTTTTGAAGTGAAGCGTTTTTATATTTATTTAATATTTAATCAATTTTATTGTTTCAATTAGAATTTAATATCTATTTAATTTTTAATGACATGTCACATTAGTAAAACTGTTATTTTATCATGTTTTCCATCGATTGGGACATTTTAAAATGTTTTAATAAATCAGGGGACGCTTTAAGATATGATACATACTTCAAGGGGTATTCATACAAATAAGTTATTAAATTAACCATCTAATAATTGTCACGTCATCAAATTCATTAGTCAAATAAATAGAATGGGTAAAGTTAATAACATTTTAAACTTCAGAGGGTGGGTGGACCAATTTTCAAAATTTAAGAGGTAAAGTGACAAAAAAACTAAAGTTCAAGAGTAAAAATAGAATTTATCCTAATTGATATATATAACTAGTTGAAACACACACTTCTTGCGTGCCTATTTAACTTTTTTTTTTAAAAAAAAATTATAGTTTATGTTTTCTATCATTATTTTCTTTAAAATTTAATCTAGCATAAAAAATATTAAACATGGAAAAATTAAAAGGAAAATATATTTTTAATAGAGCGAATTAGACATAAATTATTTAGGGGTCCATGCAAAGAAATTTAATTATAAAAATCACGGACAAAATGTTTTGATAAAAGACGCACTTGAGAACAAAATGTTAAAGATTATTTATTGAGTATATATAAAAATTTATATCTGTGAGGGTCATTTCTTAAAAAAAGGGATTAATTACAAAAACTCCCCTTGAACTATACTCTTTATAACATTTTGTTCTCTAATCTTTAAAACGTAATATTTGTTCTCGTGAATAATGAAATGTTAACAAAAAAATCCTTCTGTTAGGTTTTTTTTAAGAGAAATTAACATGTAACTTATTATTTTGGGTATTTAGTAGCTCTATAGTTTTAAATTTTAATTTGAATTTAAAACTAATTTAAATTTAAATTTTTAGTTATGCTACGTCCATTATTGATTGAATATAAGTTAAAAATTTTATGAATTTTTTTATTAGAATAAACTAATTTATGATGTTTTTTTTTTGAATTTTTAAATTAGACCTCCTTAACATTGATTCATTGTCAAAAAAAATGAATACTAAATTTATTTATCTACCTTAATGAACTACTATACAATCAATAATTATTTATTTATGTAAAAAGATATTTTAGTTATTAAATTCATAACATTACTATTTTTAATTTTAATAAACATAAAAAAATATAATTATTTCTCATTACACTATCTAATAGTTAAATAAACATATAAAAAAATAAATAACTATTAATTCTATTATTTTACTTTTCTTTTCAACTCATTACCTTTTCTATTAAATTCTTTTACTATAAACGCGCATGTTATGTTGGCATCTAATGAATTATTTGCCGAGAGTCTTTTTGCATATAAGAGTCTCGTTCATTTCACCGATTCGAGTTTTGTTACAGTAAAAAGCTATCAGAAACAGTCACATTTAACTTTTTTATTACAGTAAAAAAATTCTCACATAAAATTACATCTCAACTCAAATTAAAAATTCGAATCAGTGAACTAAACGGGCCGAAAGACTTTTGCCACGTGTCTCGTGCATTCGCTGACAATCGTTTTTGCAATCTACAACTACTTTTGTAATATTCATCTCATGTATGTGTATAATAGTGTATATCTATTATTACAGTCTCGTTTAGTCTATTGATTCAAATTTTCAATTTAAATTGAATTATGATTTTATATAAGTACTTTTTATTATAACAGAAAAAATTAAATATAACTTTTTATGAGAACTTTTAATTATAACAAAATTAAAATAAAAAACTCAAATCGTCATCTACCTCAGCTATATTGAAAGCAAAGATATTGTCAACATCAATGCAATACCAGATCTACTACAACAGGTTTGAATCAGCAATTTAATAGCTATATATTTCTTATTTTGGTAAATACTCACCTCATTTATCTTAATTATTCATTGCTTTAGAGAAAGAACTTCTGGATAAAAGCTAAAATTTCTTTAATAGACTCTGAGCAAAAATTCTGGTACTTGTGCTGTGAAAACCGTCACAAATCTGCAACAACTGGATACAATCAATTATATTGTTAGCGCTGCAACAAAAACAATGTGAAAGCAATACCCAGGTAACGACTTACATGTTATAATTAGTGTGTTAAACACTACATTAAAGTTCATTATAAACCATCTATTTTCATTCCACAAGATAAATCAGGAGTTCTACTAGCAACAATGTTTGGAAATAATGCAGAGAAATTTCTACACTGCACAGCAATAGATTTAATGGAACATACTACTGAGGTGCTTTGTTAAATGTGTTCCTCCCCATTGAACATAAAATTTATTTTTACTTACATCTGTTTCATCTATATTAAAATATGAAACAATAGATTTTCTACTCATTATGATGGAATACCAGAAATTCAAAGCTTCGCACAGAGAACAAGTTTGATAGAGCATTTCATCTATATCAAAAGTTATAAACCGGACTATTTATGCGTTAAAAACAAACATATTATTAGTCAGCTTACAAGAGTAACTGATTCCACAGGTTTAATGATGCAAACAACATAAAAGACAAGGCTGTCTCGTGTTTTTGACTTTTTGCTACAAACATATAACTAATGAAACCAATAGCTGTTGTACATCTATTATAGTTATTAGCTACTTTTGATCAATCACCACTAATGTAAATTTGTTTGGTTGTAAATATATTGTACATGTTGGAAAAGCAATCGTGAATATCTAAATGCTGGGTTGATAGATCACAGAGCCAAGTTATTTTGTACAATCATGTTTTTGGTAAATGCTTCTTACTTGAGGAGTAACAATTAAATTTGAATTTTGGTTCTGAGTAGGCTGCCTAAATTTTGGTTGTCGATTCTGTTCGTATTCAATGAGTAAACACAGCACCCAATGGCAACAATTCCGAAGGCTCTCATAGTCCATTACGCATTGTATTTTAGGCCTCGTTCATTTCACCCATTCGAGTTTAAAATTCGAGTTTTGTTACAGTAAAAAATTATCAGAAACAGTCACATTTAACTTTTTTACTACAGTAAAAAGCTCTCACATAAAATTATATCTCAACTCGAATCAGCAAACTAAACAGATATATATATATATATATATATATATGTGTGTGTGTATACTATGTGGGGGCACGTGCTTTGCGCGTGCATGATCCCCATGTGAGTTAATCTTAATAGCAATTTATGCACGTTACATTATCAAATGAAAGCTGCTAAAAATAATTTGACATCACACGTCAAAAAACAATTGTCTTGAATATACAAGAATTAACAAGTCTATTTCAGTATGTTGATCAACGTTGATGCCTTCAGGTCTACTTATTTGCTGCAAAAAACAATCAAACTTTACTTAATTGAGTTATGAACAAATCACATTAAGGGTATGTTTACTTTGCATTAAAAGGAAAGGAAGAGCAAGAGTGTTTCTCTTTCTCATTTAATAATGTGTTTATTTACAAAATTAGTAATAGAGATTTAGTGAGCCCCACACAATATAAGGAATAATGAAAGAGAATATCAATCCTTACACTCTCTTAGTAGTAATTTCTTGTCAAAAGAAATGAATGCTAAATTTACTTATTACCCTTAATGAATTACTATACAATCAATTAATATTTAATTGTGTAAAAGGATATTTTAGTGACTACATTCACAAAATTACTATTTTTAATTTTAGTAAACATAAAAAAAGAAATGAGGTTATTTCTCATTACACTATCTAATAGTCAAGTAAACACATGAAAATAAATGAATGACTCTTAATCTTATTACTTATATTTTCATTTTCAATCTCATTACTTTTCCCATCACATTCCTTAACGGTTTAATAAACGCGCCCTAAAAATTATCTTTTCCATTACATTCTTTTACAATTTAATAAACACGCCGTAAAAGTAAATGCTTATATTAGAGGAAACTATAGAGGCTAGTATTTTGGTAGAGGAAGTATTTGAAGACTGAATATTACAAGTTAAATTCTGCTCAAGAATTCCTAGATGTACAGGAGTTTTTGTGACTGTTACAGCTCGAAGACAATTTGCTTAAGTA